TTGTTAACTAATTCAATTTCTTCTTGATATAAAATCATGTTTGGTTTTTTTATTGTAGATACACTTTGTTGTTAATTTGACTGAAGATGGCCATTTGAATGGCCGAAACATGTATCGAACCTTATTGAAGCAGGATTGAGCCTCCTTCAACATTAAAATTGTGGAGACGACTTTGAGTTTTCTTTCTTGGTAAATATCATTTCCTCATCGTATGACGGTCGAAATTTGCAACCTGCTCTTGGACTATAAAAAGGGTTGGTTTCTTAAAACGTAGTACACAATCATTCACAGATGCAAGTATCATAAAACATCTGTTTTTTACAACTGTGCGCAGCGAAATAAAATATGCATGTTTGATATGGGATCCTGGAAAAAAAATTGAACAAATGATATAATCTATACAAAATGAATTCCTGAAATACCTTTATTATGAAAACACAGAGTTTCACCCGAACATTATATAGTCCTATCAGGGAAAAATTCATCCTAGAAACTTACACTATTTACATTATTACTATTATTATTACGTTTGTGTTGCTATCATCATTAAAGTTAGTATTATCATTATTATTACTTACTGCATGTTGCCCTTAAGAGATGTATATTACACACCGAGGTGGAAAGAGATCATTTCTGTCGTGAGATTAGTTAGTTCTCGAGACAGGAATGAAACTTCCTACCCAGGTTTGTATACTATTTTATTTATAACCATCTTATGCCGATTTAACTAAAATATTACATAAGTGAGGGCAGGAAGTAGTGAGGGCGGGAAGTGAAGGCGGGAAGTCGAGGTGTATAATGTGACACTTTCCAACCTTCAATGACGTTAGTAATGACATTACATATATGGTTGTGAATAAAACATGTAATTAGACTCTGCCTGTCTTAGTCTAAGAGCCAGCGATCAGCAGACTTACAGTATGTTAGCAAACTCCAATTTGATGATACTATTTCACCTGCGTAAGAGAAATGGGGATTCACTATCCCCGTCCACGGTTCCTTTGGGCGTATCCCAGCAGTAAAAAAAAGACAAAAATTTCTTAAACGTGATTTCAACATGTCTGCCGTTTCAATATCTTGAAGTACATTTTTTTCTGATTGAAAAATTCAATTTCAGCAAGGATGAAATTCAAATACGTTATTTACTTTATTATTATATGTACATATAAAGGGTGTCTCTGAAAGGTCTGTACAGAATGATACCATAGACAACTGAGACCAGAGTAAGATACCTGTATACCCTGTGAAAATGATTATTTATTGAACATACATTATACATTTTGAAGCTTCGATTGAAACAAATGTTTTTCTTTCCGATTGAGTAGGAATTATACAGGTTGGGGCATTAGTGCGTCAAAGCTCGATTGCTCGAGTTCTATGATAGCTAGAAACTCGATTCAAAAACGAATGTCAATGGGACATGGTGTATAACTAGAAATTATTGCCGTATATACAGGGGGCACTGAAAAAAAATCTAGAAGGTCAGGATCGCTTTTTTAAAAGGGAAATACCTGTATGTAATACACATTTTTTAAGCACCCCTATGACCTCCAACAACTCCTATAATATTGTTGACGATATCTCGATCGTTTCAAAGATTAATTTTTTTTGTCGAAATAATGTCATGTGCAGAAAAAATCACTGTAGTCACGATTATGAGATTCAGATGTGTGATATTTCTGTAGAACTTTCATGCCTTCAAATTATACAGGTTGACTAAAAATGATTTTTCAATTCAGAACATTTGGAAATTACTTTTCTCGAGTTTTTCGAATGGAACACCCCATATATTTTTAGGCCATTTGGTGTAAAATCAAAACTCGAACATCTTTTATCTCAACATCCATATTGATATTCGTAACCATTTTTGAATTATTGAACTTCGAAAATACACATTCTATTATTAAAACATCAAAAGAACAATTTATAATAATTCATTGAACGTGCGTTTTCGTTGAAAGAATTGATACCAGGCTGGTATGTGGAGAATATAATTTGTAAAAAAAATGTTTGTAAAATTTGTATATCGCTACTTCAAAGTTGGGAACCAACTCCCCAGAAGTCGAAACTTGTGCGGGGTTAGGAAGAGCGGGACCTACAGCTTATAGTGGAATCCGAACCACTTCTAGGGCATCGAGGTGCTGCCAGGATTACAACCATGAATCACACATTTTAAAGAAAAATGCTCAGCCGATAGCCGGATTCGAACCGACAGTACCTCTGCATCGTGAACAGCTATCTAGCGAATTTCAGCGCATAGACAAACTCGGCCACGGAGCCCCTAATAATAATAATAATGGTTTATTATAATGAACATGAATACATGAATAGAAATATACAAATACTATCTAGTAGTATGTACAAAAATCATAATATAAGTACATAATGATATAGTCTAAATATTACAATAAACCGGAGGTACCCACAAAGTCAAAAGACTGTGCGTGGGATATCTTATCATTCATTTTGTTTATATTATTATGTTCATGATATAAATAGTATGTTCAAATGATATTTCGAATTAATAGTTAATTACCTATTGTATTATTGAATAAAATTCAAATGAATGTATAATTGATGTATAATTAATTGATATTTTTTGAAATTTGACGAATCAAGATACAAAAATAATATGAATCAAATATTCAATACACCTTCATAGACTAACATATAGACAAAAAGCAATATATACTTGAGAAAAAAAAACATTTAAAATAACTCTAGTACCTAATTTAATAGCTCATGGAAAACGACGTGTCAATCAAATAATTTATTCAGTTCCGACTTATCCAGTACTTGGAGAAAATGTTTAACTTTTTTCTTGAAGCGATATTTTGTGCGAATTTCAATTATTCACTAGGAAGTATGTTGAATAGTTCTGGGCATATGTAATAACAATTTCGTTTTCCTATGGTTTTTTGTGCA